TGATGAAACAATACAAATACAACACACCTCACAACACTCCATCTTTAACATATATATCAAAACAGTATTCACAAAATGTGATGTGATCAAAACTTATACAATCATATGAAACTAGTCAACTCCAATAGCACTGCTGTTCTGTATTTATGCACAATATCAGAAGCTTAACATGGTCACAAAATTCACATAATTAAAAAAATCAGACATAATAGAACCATCGACAAGACAAGTATGTCACATTACTTTTTATCATTTACAATTAATGCCAGCAGTGATAAGTTATTATTACATATACATGATATAGTAATTCACAAATTTATAATAAAATATGATTGACAGTGACACAGAGCTCAGAATAACAAGGTTAAACAAATATGAATTATAATCATTTTTTTTTTTCAAGAGTTGACTGATATAGAATTTGAAATAAAGTATCAAGATGTTTAAATATTATTCAAATTATGGGGAGCTACTTCAGCCAAATCAAGGTAGATGGATATTTTGAATTCTTCTGGCTGGTCCAGGACAGCTAGGAATTAGTACATGTAAACAAAGAATCTGTGAAAGAATTGTCTGTGGAAACAATTTTATGGCTTCATGGAAATATCTACCTACAGTGTGCATGCACTGTGGTTCAACTGAAGACCTTCTTGAATAACAATGTCTGCACTTATTCACTATATAAACAGATAAAAAGTTCTAGTCCAGTTTATCATTCCACTGCAGAAATTCAGGAAAAAAAAAATCCACCAAATCTTGCTGGATCTAGGGCTTCAACACTCATCATCCAAAGTAAATAAATCAAGTAGCTTAGCAGTCTCCCTAAAATAAAATAGATGCAGCTTATTAAAAGTGTTTAATAAACATACTTCTTCAGAAGGAAAAAAACGTATATATTATATATGCATCTTTATCTTATCTAGTCTTAATTTCTTGCACTTACATTTAGGCATATTCCAAAATTTGATTTATATCCATGGTGGCCCTCTGCCAAAACATAACAGATCTACTCTACCCGATCTTTGCTGTTCATCACAATGGAGTTATAAAGTTTACTTGTTTCCACGCCGTAACTCTAAAAGCATGCTTTAAAAAGTTGTGCAACTGTGCATCATTAGAGCTAATGACAAATGCGGGTGGTTTCGCACTGATCACCTGTACGCGCCGAGTTTCAACGACAAATACCGTCATATCTGAACAATAGTCAATACATCCGAGTGTCAAGTGTCCTTTCTCGTGCAAATTGATCAATGTTGAGATGGTTTTTCCCAACATGTAATATTTCCTACTGAATTTCAAACTCAGAAATGATCGAGTATTTAAAATAAAATGAAAAATGGGGCGGGAAATGGAACGAAAATTTCCGGAAGCGGGAAATTTAAAATAATATTATTTTTTACGTTTCTCTAAAACACGAGCGCGCGGGTCCATCGAACAAGAAATTTTATTGGTGTGGCCTAATGTGGAATCATCTCGGGTAGTGTAGATTCAATTTTGTTCAAATCATGATCTTGGGGGTAGGGTGGTGCCAAAATGGCCAATCAAAGTTTTTCATAGGAATATATAGGGAAATCTTTTAAAATCTCCTTCTTAAGTACTTCAAAGCCATGATTAGTGATATTTATATGAAATCATCCTCAGGTAGTGTATATTCTTGTTTGTTCAAATCATGACCCCTAGGGGGTTAGGATTTAAGCCCCACCCTCCAAACTCAGTAAACTTTCATTCCTGAACTGATATTTGTTTTTACCTAGCCGATGTGCTCAGGTGAGGGCTGTAGCCCCTTGGCATTTTGTTATTTTTGTTTCAAAGGATTCACCATAGAGGATGTAAAAGAAAAGGAACAAGAACTTTTTTTCTAATCTGAATTGTGGTTTTGAAGATAAGTAGATACAGTATTTTGTGAACGTTTTGGTCATCCCTCGTATATCATGGCTTTATCAAAATTTGAATGAAACCTTTAAGTAAATTTTGGAAATGACAATTTCAAGAATTGGGTCAGCCTGTGGATGCATTTCTCTTCAAGGTGACCAATTTCAAAATCAAATCTAAATTGTAAGAAAAATACAGTACTACGTGAAATATATAGTATGTCTTCTTATTTCTATTTTATTGATCAAAATTATATAATAATATATGCATGTACATGTATCACAGAAAATATGTTTAACATGAACAAATTTCATAATAATCATAATGATCAATAGAAAAACATATTTCTTGATTAAGGTTTGCTTTTACATTTATGTGTATATTTGATATAGTTGTCTTCATTTGAAGATATTGAAATTGTATTTATTTCTGCTGGTATTTCTGCTGGTATAAAAAAAATAATCTTAAATATATAATTGGGGGTGCAATATCATGACGTTTATATTGAAATCAGTAAATCCTAGATCTGAGGTCTGGGACAAATTTTAAAGTCTCTTCTGTCAATCCGTTTTATAGTTAACTTAACTTTTCTCACTGAAGCTGATTTGATTAAATGCCTCTTTTTAGATATACCTACTCAATGGCGTTGTACAAAATAAAATGAAAAAAAAATATGATATATACACATATATATGGAGAGTAATAATTAAGATAAAGCATCAAAGTCCTTAAAAAAAGTAATGTTTCAAGATTTTGATTATTTAATATTCAAAGGTATTTTATTTTACTACCTTTTTAATTTCGGTTTGGTTGTAAAACTCCTGCCGCTGAAAGTTTTTATTTGAATCATAAATATATGTAATGCGACAGATTTTTTTTTTTTTTTTTTTTGGAATTTTAATCAAGTGTTGTTTAATTGAATGTTGGTTTACGTCGTGTTCGAGAAATGTTCACTCTTACAGAGACGTCACCATATACCGGAGGAGGGCTTCATATGTAGACCTTTACTCGGCACCCAGGCACATCGAGCAACAAAATTTCTATCGTACCTTCGCCTGTTGTGACAGCTGACCTCGGTGTTAAGGCCTAAGTCAAAGGACCCCCATCTTTCGCTTCAAAGTGCTAAGCGCTTTGGGAAGATGCAGTTGCTACGTATTTTTTTTTTGATCGACTTAGGACAGTCGCAACCGGGCTCGAAACTACGATCTTCCAATAAACTCTAGCAAATTCTCATGGATGGGTGTATCTTAATTTGAAAGAGGCTTCTAAAACAACAATCTCACTGATCTCCCTTTTGCATTTATTTCATTGGCGATTGAGTATTTGAATTAAATATTTCCCTCAAAATAGGGCACCCTGTGTTTTAGTATTATTTTGTATCTTAATATTTTTACTTAACGTAAAAAATTATTTCTTAAACTCGAAGCAATGGCATGGTAGACTAAGTATTCATGTATATTTGCAAAGTTAGTGTTTCAGAAATCTCAGTAAAAGGGTTCAACAACCATTTCCCAGGTGTTTGTGGGCTAATAAGTGTTGAAAAAGGAATTTTTTTTATTTTGTCGAAATTATTGTTATCTGTGAAGCCTTTTAAAAAATATCATTATAAGAACGTGCTCAATATGTATGGTATTTTCCGTATACAATCAAAAGGTATGAATATAAGCAGAATTCACACAGATGTACCCAAGTTTAAATGCAAGAGTGAAGGGAATTGATATTATATAGTTTAATTACGTTTTTTTTCCCTGCTTTTAGGCAAGTTTTGGGATATGTAAATATTTTCAAAACTGAAGGCAAATGGTTTATGGTGCTAATTTTGGGAGCATCCCTACCAATTATGGGTTTCAAAAAAACTAACACCTTTGAAAAAAAAACTATTTAAATAATCGTGCATTTATACCCCTTTAAAATCAATATTTATTCATTAGAACGCTGAAAGCCAAGACAAAAAATCCATACCTGATACATTGATTATCATACTACTACTCTGGTTTATATATTAAGATATTCAATCAAATATACATGTATGATGGGAAGCACTAAAGAACATTAATCTAGCTCTTACATTTGAAAGTATTAAAAATATATCAGGAAATAGAGATATATAAAGTTTTATTATTAAAAAAAGTTATATGTGGGACATTTTTCAACGTGTGTAGAGAGGTAGAAGTACCGGTCTGCGAGGGTTTTCAACGGTCGGAAAAATGACCCTACTTGTAGAATATTGACCGGGGGGGTAATTTTTCTATGTAGAAAAATGACCCCCTGGTCATTATTCTACGGGGGTCAATTTTCGTCGTTACACCGACAGAGGGCTGCAAATTTTACACCTATTTTACGTATCATGGCCCATTGCGCAGTGAGGGATCTTTTTGTACCACCGCCTGCTCAGACACGGGACCTCGGTTTAGTTGATGGAATCCGAAGGCCAGCCTTCATGCCATATAATGAAGTTCGAACCCACAGGTTTAGGATCAATTCCTTACTCCTCGACTCTAGAGCAAACGCAAAAATATTAATCAAAATTCCATAGATGTTTTAGAATAGAAATGACATATGTATTTCTATAGGTGAATTTAAAGACATTCACATGATAGCACATTATCTATCATCCACATGATAGCACATTATCTATCATCCACATGATAGCACATTATCTATCAGCCACATGATAGCACATTATCTATCAGCCACATGATAGCACATTATCTATCAGCCACATGATAGCACATTATCTATCAGCCACATGACAGCACATTATCTATCAGCCACATGATAGCACATTATCTATCCATCCAGCATTATCAATTTTTCATGTAAATTTTTCCTTTTGTCAATAGTTATGCTTACATTAAACACGATCTCGATATGAAAGTGAAAGTATAGAAACATTGTGTAGCAGTTGAAGTAAAGTGTTATATTCAGATCGTTATCCATACGGTTCTTTAAACAATTTAATGAAAATCTGTTGTTTTTATTAGGCCTATGTATTAAACAACTGTAGTTCAGCGTCCCAGTGCCTTTTTTATTCAAAGAACCAAATGCTGATTTGACTGAGTGACGATTGAACAAAGTTATTGAAGCATTGCCTATTTTACTGGATTTTTAAAAAAATAATCCAACTCTTTTTTTTACAGAATAATATTCCAGCACATTTTTAAAAGCCTGTAAGATATGGCATGTATGGAGAGAATTTTCTGGCCATAAAACAACACAATATCTACATGTATATAGGGATAAATTTTCATCTAAAGCAGACATACACGGTACTATAGTTTGTGTTCATGATTTACAAGTGTTAAAAGAACAATAAGAAAAAAATGTGTTTATTCAATTTAAGGAAATTAATTAAAAAAATACTGAAAAAAATTAAAAAGCTCCAAGTATCAGTTAATTCATAAATTTATTATATATCAATTACCTAATTATTTGATATTTTTACAGGTTCAATATACAACCTGCCTTTTTCATAATGAATACATTGAAGAACAGGCACCATGACCCAAAGCTTGCTTCAAAATAGGTAAGTTAATACTCTGTAATAAACTTTAAACTTTCTTATATTATATTCATCCCATGAAAGTTTTAGGATATACTGTATTCAAAATGTCTGTTTTTTGCTTGTCTGTTCGTAGTATTTATTTTTTGGTCAAGGTTTATGCATTTGTTTCTGGATCATTCTGAATCATGCCTATATCATTTTTGGCAATCTTTATTTCCTATTTAAACATTCCAAATTCAATTGTCAAAATTTTGAAACAGTAATTGCTATCGCTTATAAGCTCACCTGAGCCTAAGACTAAAATGAGATTTTGGATTGAAGGCTGTCCCTTGTCTGTCGTATTCGGTGTCATAGTTAACTTTTTTTTACAATTCCATCTTTTATATAGTTTCAAATCACATTACATATAACTAAATTACCTACAGTGGTGTTTTTTTTTTTGTATTTCCAAGAGCTTAACCAGCAGAATCTTTACATTGTAGGCTCCACCCGTGCCTTAACATGAGAGGTTTTCAAATCGTTTGACCATGATCTAAGGGGCTGATAAAATTTCTTAAGAGCTGAAGGTAATTACTTTTGTGGAAACATAATTAATTAATAATACATGTAATTATCACGACTTTGGGACTTCTTAATTATCTAAATATTTTCGTCATCATTTCAGAAGCAATGCAAACACTGTCAGGGAAATGAAGCCAGAATTGTGTAAAAAATTGAAAAATAAATGCAGGATTAATACTTTAAAATTTGTTTTTTTAATTTCTTATTGTTTAGCTAAGGCATTTAAGGACAAGTTGAATATTAAGTTCACATTGCAATTCAAGAAAATACAAATTATCAACATAAAAATGTAAAGAAAGAAATAAATTTAACATATGCTTAACATATGAAAAACATATGAACATAAACGTATTGTGATCATGTGTTCATACAAAACATATGAATAACATATGCTAAACGTGTAATCAACATATGTTCACCATATGTAACTCGTTTTTTATGGCGAACATATGTTTCGGAACATACGTTGCAATTTTAACTGTGTATATACATTGTTTTATGATTTAATAGTGAGTTGAAAGGGAGGTAACTCATTACCTCTTCGTTCCGTAATCTACCCAAAATGCAATGTTCATATTTCCACTAAGTTTTCATTGCACATTCCTTCCATGAGAAAATTTCAACAAAATCTTTAGACATTTCTCATTATTGGTCATGTGTCCTTAGCTACCTTTATATCTTTTCTGGAGCCCACTTTTTAGGGTTATCTTGGAACACAGATGAGTTATATAACGTTAGAAAAACATTACTTCAATGTAGCATGGGTAGAGTAAAAGTGTAATTACTAAAGCTATGGTAAATACTTTTTAGTAAAGCAGGTTTGCAAAAATAGTCACATATGATTACCCATATGTGTATTAAAAAGATGCATGCCAGAGTACCAAGAGTTTTCTAGTGAATTATGTAAATCACTGTGCTAAATATAAATCTGAAAACTCTGATTGGTTTCTTTATGTATTGGGGAATCAAAAGAATGAAAACGACATCTGATCACCAACAAAATCTGATACAGCTGATATACAGAGTAAGCACTGCCCCTATTCACGTTTAATCATCATAATGGTCTTCTTCACGTCCGATCCTTGAATAACAGAGGCACCCCAGGGAAAAAGCCATTGATTTACTCCCCAGGGGCCGTTTAGATAGGCAGCGTAGCAACTGTTAAACCACCACCCCCCGGCGAAACCTCCAGCACAACTACTACTGGATCTGTCATTGTCTCTATCCGGTGTAGAAAACTTCATCCCAGACAGATCATAGCTACTGGTTCCAGTATCCCACATGTAGTCTCCTATAAAGCGGAATAAAACGAAAAAACACACATTCTGCATTTAAATCATTTCAAAGGTAAATACCGGTAATGGTGAAAGGGTTTCTTCTTTAACAGGAATACTTTATACAACTATAAGTAACAATAGTTAAAGCAATATGAACCGCATTTTTGAAAATTTTATTTTGCTCTTAAGATTTGTTATTGTAATAAATTTATATTTTTGTTTAACATGTTTAACAACTAGACTAAAATGAAACATTAACTGTTTTAGAAGAAAGACTGCTATAAAATCTAATATACAGTATCTCTAAGAATTCATTATTGCACAGGACGACAAAAATGTTATTTTGATTCAATCACTACTCACATTGATTTAACTAGCATCTATAATACTGTAAATGTAAGGGTATTTCATGAAAAAAAAATGTACATGTATCAGTAACTTTCTTGATTTTATTAGATATAACAAAAAAGACTTGTATATACATTATATCTTGCAGAAGATGGGTAAACTAAATGTCGAGCGAAAAGCCTAGATCAACTGTGACAAACATGGGGGTAAAAAACTAAACCTTACCAATTGCACCATGTTATTAACAGACCTAATTTGTGTATTAGTATAAAGCAAAATTAGCGCAAAATCCTATGCGTGAGAAGAAGAAAACACTTGCTGTGGCCTTCAAAACGACGTTAAGATACATCGAAGACGTATCATCATTTACCAATTGTAATTCACATTACTATGTCGATACGGTATATCCTGGTTCCCTTGAGATAAAAGATACCGAAGAGTCTGACATATCTCTTTCATATTTGGATATTTTACTTGCAAAAGACGTTAATGGTAATCTAAAAACCAAGCTCAAAAAACGTGATGACTGTAGCTTTTTTATCGTCACCTTCACTTACTTAAGCAACAATATACCCTCATCGGCTGCATTTGGAGTCTATGTATCTGCGTTAATTCGATACGCAAAATCATGCTCTAAGTATGGCAATTTCTAAACCGGGGAAAACTATAGACATACAAGTTGATGAAACAATATAAAATAATAATAAAAAACAAGATAACATTATATGCCACTTAAATACTAAAGAATGGCTTCCTTTATTATGTTTTCCCGACTGTCTACAGAATTAATGGGTCTCTGTTGGTGTTTTGCCGAAGTCTACGTAGAATTTTACTGGTGTTTCCTCCTCCACCTACTCCATGAACGTGCCTTTTGAACAATTTTGTTCCTTTCTTAACAGATTCTAACCTGGAATTCTCAACAATTTCGGAACGTTCAACGTTCAAATTTTACAGGTTATTGGTTATACAACTTTTGTTATAACCCTCGGATGTAAAAGCAATCCACATTTCCGCAAATTTTAACAAAATACAAATGAAATTTATAAAGTGATCAATAGCTTTTTCATTAAAATGTTATGGTGTTCCTGGTCACTATAGCAAGTTTGATAATGAAGCCAAAATTGTAATTCTACACTGAATTGAATATAATTTCACATTTTGTAATTCATATTTGATAAAGGATTCTAAATATGCTAATAATAAATATCAATGAAAAAACTTTTATATTTTAATTTGAGCTTGTCCACGAAATTAACAGACAACCCTCGTACATGTAAGATTTGAAACATCATTGTTAATTGAACACGTCTTCCTTATACCTAAACATCGGATTGAACGCTACAGGAAGTGCTTTTTTCTTTTCACATAAACGATTTTGGACGAATTCTGCCCATATAAATGGAAAAAAAGTCTACTCATAACTGTCACAAATGGTATCCATGGGAATTCCAATTAATCAGTTTAATATATATTTTATTCACATAAATGGATTGAACAGCAGACATAAATGCCTATGATCGTTCTTTCCAATTAATTGTAGGAAAGCCTGGTTTTCTAACATCACATCGATGTTGATAATGAAAAACACAAGCAACATTTTAATGGCAACTTTAGAGTACTTGTGTATACAATATGATTTTTTTAAACAGAATAATTTTGCAATAGACCAAGGACAAGCTAAATTTATCAACGAGTTTAAATTTTTTTTTTTTTTTTTTTTTTTTGACATACCATTTTGACGTATTTTTTTTCTAAGAAAGGGAACAAGCTAAAAGAAAGACTGATGATTGAAGGAAAGACACAAACTGACAGGAAGCATAATAACAACGTATATCATGTTGATTGTTTTCTTGACAAAAAAAATCAAAGCTGTAAGTCATACAGTGATTTCCTCGCAAATTTGTTCAGGGAATGACTGCCAATGTAAGCACCTCGTTTTCATTTTGTGTAATAGTTGAATTTAAATTGAAGAACCAATACCTAACGTCCCTGTTGCAGGCCCGTCTAAAAAGAGTGTATAATCGTCTGCTTCATCAGTAATGGAAAATCGGCTGTACAATTCATAAAGTGTTGTGCCGTCCGCTTTTGTGATGGAAACATAGAGAGATGAGTCATTTCCTTTTACAAGCTGGTGAATAATGTCATTCCCTGTTAATTATTCCAAATACAATGTATTATTATACTATGAAATCACAAACTTTCGTGTTGGTTTAATTTTCGTTGTTTTCGATGTATGAAAAGACCCACGAATTCATGACTATCACGAAATGTAAAATGTTATATACATAAGTTCTCATTAATCCTTGATCCACGAAATAAAATCTCCACGAACCAAGGGATTTTCCTCAAATCACGAAAAATTGACCCCACGAAAATATGTGATTTTACAGTATATGTAGTTTTTTCTGAAGGATGAACTAAGAAAGCATATACTTTTGTATTTCAATGCAGTAACCATAGTTTAATTTTCATTGTGAAAACTCAAATTTACTAAAGTCTAGATATCAAAGCATACACAAGTAGATGTGTTAATTATAGTCTGTTTAATGCTAACGTTGTCACCATACCCTGCTTTTTTCTCAATACTATAAAAGATCGCACTTCAAAATTATCTATTCATTACTTTATTTGTACATATCTTTCGTCTAAGCAACGATACCGGTCACGGTAGCCTAGTGGTAGAGCGTTAGCTTCGTGATCGGGAGGCCCGGGTTCGATTCTCGATCGCGGCGCCGCGTCATACCTAAGACGTAAACAAAGGTAGTGACTGTTCCTTCGCCAAGCGCTCGGCACTAGAAGTGAAAGTCACGGGTCTTTCGGATATGACCTCAAAAACGTAAGTCCCGTGTCACGGTAGGCGTTGGCACGATAAAGAACCCTCACTGCTCAATGGCCCTGACTGCCGAGTACAAGTCTAAATTTGAAGCCCTTCACCGGCATCGGTGACGTCTCCATATGAGTGAAAAATTCTCAAGAGGGACGTTAAACAATATACAATCAATCAATCTAAGCAACGATCAATTCAAACAAATAATGATAAGATCTTCGCTGTTAAGAACAAGTGAACAAAGATAATGTATAAAAATTACTACAGAATCAGAGGGGAATTTACCATTATTTTTTTGTTCAATGTTACCAGTGATGCATAATGAAATAACCTGCCAAATTATCAGCAAATGAATCATCAGGCCTGGACATCATTTACTGAGAACAGACTAATGTTATGGTCTTGGAGCCTGATAATATATTCATATATACCAATCCAGACATCCTGCTCAGGTGAACCAAAACCTGTCTTATAGTCCATCCAGCCTTTTTCAAAGCTTACAGATCCACTTTCACGTTTTTGGATCGCCTTGAAAATATTATTTTAT